GCAGGAAGGTCTCCAGCAGGCGCAGCATGCTCACGTCCGCGCTCTCGAACAGCATCCGCCAGTAGAAGTGGCGCCGCAGCCGCTCCCCGCGCCAGCGGCTCTGCAGCCCCAGGTACACGGTGCGCAGGTACCTGCCGGAGGCACGCGGTGCTGAGGCGCCCACTCCGAACCCGACCCTGGCCACACTGAGCCTCCTACCCCAAATGCTAAACGGCCGTTTTGAAAGGACCCACTCCCGGGGCTGCGGTCGGGGAGCTCCTGCCGGGCGCTTCAGCTTCAAGCAGTGACACAAAGGAAAGACTTCATCCAGCATTCTCATCATCACTCCTGCTCTGGCACATCGAGGCCTGCTTCCTCACCGGCTTCCTGACTCCCTACAGTGCCCTGAGCTTACAACAGCCCCTCTCTTACCCCCATTGTATAGATGAGAAAACTGAGACCCAGAGAGCTATGTCATTGGTCCAAGGTCACACAGTAGGAAGCAGTGGAACCAGCATTCACACCCAGGCAGCCTGGCCTCAGGGCTCACCTTCTGACATTAAGCAACTCTGCCTCTCCCCGTAGGCTATTAAGAGTTTGTCTACTCAGGAGCAGTTCCTGGTGCCAGCCCCCAGTTCGGTGGCCACCAGCAGCTTTCTGGCGTGTTCCCAAGCCCACCCCTGAGTGCCCAGTTCTCCCACAGGGCACGGGAGGCTGCTTAGAGATCCTCTGGCATTTGAGACTTTGCTGCTTCTTCTCACCTCGCTTCTCCCAACAAACTTCCTGCCTCCAGCTACTCTGCACAGGCCACAGATTCCAGCTCACAATCCTCCTCCTCACTGGGCTTTTGCAACTGCTGTTTCCTCTGCCTGGTCATACCCCCACTCCAGCCCCCCAACCGGGATAACTCTTGCTTTTCCCCCCAAGGCTCAGCTTATCAACATGATTTCTTCCAGGAATCAATCCTCCACCGACCACTCTCCACTGGGAGTAGGGGCCTCCCCCAGGCTTTCCTCCAGCCAGCACTTTTCACAGTGGGTTTAACTGTCTGCTTAAGCGTCTGCCTCCCCCACACTGTGATCTGTGTGAGAACGATTAGGTCGGCTTGCTAACTGCTGTATCTCCAATTCTTAGCACATAGATGCTCAACCTGTGTGTTGCCTGAATGAATAAATAAATGAATGAATGTGGGAATGATTGAAAGTTTGTTGAACTGAATGGAACTCTGGTAACCCAGTAGGAGCATGGAGGGAACCCCAAAGTCCTGAGACCAATTCCTCACTTGGTTGTGTAATCTTGAGCAAGAAGACCCTCTCTGAGCCCTGCCTGTGAGCGTTAAATGAGTGAGATCGTTTGCAACTATGAACTGCAGTGCCCACTGGGTGACAAGGGACCTCGCCACACAGAGCTCTGGATCTGATTTCTCCTCTCTGTCCTGGTGCCTTGCCCAGCAGCTCCACCCCTGGCTGTTGCAGTCATAGACACTGGCCCCCCAACCTCCAAATTCTCTGATTCATGCCCTTTGCTGAAACCAGAGAGGGCTCCTTTAGAAGTGATCTCCCCAGAAACCAGGGGGAAAAAACTCACCATATTCAGTGACCCTATTGCCTCCGTCAGAAATTGGGGAACCGGAGATTTCCCAGAAACGGAGTGCTGGCATTTTCAGAATGTTGTTTAGAGGCCAACAGTATTCAACTGTGTACAGCCAACCCACGGGAGGAACCACAGTGCTCCCTGAAATTTGGGATCAACTGATAGACCCAGAGTTTCCCCAATGAGTTCCCTGGTCTTAGCAATGGTGTGGCCCTCTCTGGGCCTCAGTTTCTCCAACAAGGATGGGTTTGATGACTCTGTAGATCCTTTCAGAGCTAATGTTCTTGGATCCGAACTCTCCCCTGAAAATGTGGCTGGAAACATCCCATTTAGGGCTCTCCGTCCCATCCCCGCTCCCTCAGTCTAACTCTCCCACCCAACGCTGAAATCCCCTTAGCGAGTCTTGGCCCCGTGCTTTCCACCCTCTGCTCATTCACTTTCGTGGTAGGGAGCCCCTATTCCTGGGGCGGGGCCTTCTGCTTCTGAGCAGCTCCAGACGGACTGTGTTTCTTTGATGAGCAGAAATTTGTCTCCCTGTATCTCTCGTTCCCTGGCCTCTACCTACCCCCTCACGTAAGGGTCTCTGCAGCCAGAATCATTCATTCACATACATGTGGACTCTGACCCCTTGCCTATGTGCCATGTCCTGTGCCATTAAGTGTCTCTCACTCCCATGGGAGAGAGACATGGTAAGAGCTGAAATAGATGCGGTGGAACCCAGAGAAGAGATGGGTACCTTTGGCTCCAGGGTTAAAGGGGGTCAGGGAAGACTTCCTGGAGGAAGAAAGAGTTGACCTCAGTTTTAAAGCATGGGCAGGTGTTTTAAGGCACACAGGGGGTGGCAGGGCATTCTATTTTTTTAAATATATTTTTATTGATTTCAGAGAGGAAGGGAGAGGGAGAGAGAGAAAAATCAATGATGAGAGAATTATTGATCGGCTTCCATCTGCATGCTCCCTACTGGGGATAGAGCTGGCAACCCGGGCATATGCCCTTGACAGGAATGGAAGCCAGGACCCTTCAGTCTGCAGGCTGACGCTCTATCCACTGAGCCAAACCGGCGAGGGCAATGGAAGGGCATGCTAGGTGAAATAATCAGTTGAACAAAGGCATAGAGGCATGAGAGAACACGGCCTTTTGGGGCACTGGCCAGTCATTTGTCAGGAAGGAGGCTCTTTGGACAGGGGCATAAGAGGACTAGAACTGCGAAGGGCATCAAATTCTGGACTGAAGAGTTCATATTTTATCCTAAATTTGAATTCTATCCCAGAATCAGGGGTGATGTGATGAGCTCAGTGGCTTAGAAAGCTTGCTCTGGAGGCTGGTTTGGAGGAAAGCCAGGAGAGGCTGGGGTTTGGTCCAGGCCTGAAATGACAGGGCTGAGCTGAGGCAGGGCACAGGGGAGGGGCAGAGAACAGAGCTGGAGGTGGCCAGGGGTGTGTGGGGGGTCCTAGGGGAGAGACCAAGTTGGCCCCCGAGCTTCTGAGGGCCCAGAACACAGGCCACCTTTCTCAGCCCCCATCTCTTCCTGACCCCGTTCCCTTCCCCATTCCCACGGCTCTGGCTTTGAATAGGAAGGAGAGACCAGCTGGTCCAACATGAAAGGGCCTGGGGAGTTGGGGGAGGGCGACACCCTGGAAGTTTCTCTCAGGCTGCAAGACCATCTGTTTCCTGGCCCTGGTCAGCATGAGGGAGGCCCCAGCCCAGCCAGCATCCATCACCACCTGACAGGCTGCCTGCCCACCTCCCCGCCCACTCCTGCCAGCTCCCAACACCCCACACCCCAGCTAACCACAGACAAAGGGCTCCCTCAGCCCCGGGCCACAGTGGGCCAGAGCAGGGAAGGGGTAGGGGAAGAAAGAAGGCCTCTGAGACCCCAAAACATGGGGTCAGCAGGGAGTGTAGAAAGATCATGTCCTAGTCGGGGGATGAAAGGGCCTAGGTTCAGCAATACTCTGCCTGCTTTGGCTACAGAACCAAGATCTGTGGCGGTTCCTGCCAGCCCCACTGCATGCTCACTGTCAAGGGCCCGCAAGGTTTTTATGGGCCTAGGAAAATGTTTGAGGCCGGGGGGTGGGGCTGGGGGTGGGGGGTTGGCTCTAAAACACAGGGAAAAACTGCAGAATCAAAATTAATAAATGTTTAATTAAATGCCTGCAAAACAGAACATGATATCAGCCAGTCAACTGCAATTTGGCTTTTATCTATCTGGTTGTATGTAATTTGCACTTGATGTTTGCTATAGCTGCATTTTAATAGGCTTCATAGATGTGGGGCCCACAAAGGTCTTAAAACAGCCTTGCCCAGGACAAGCGTCCTAATTCCCCTGAACCTCAGTTTCACTTTCTCTAAAAAGGGGTCAGCACCCACCCTCCTTGCCTACTTCACAGCTCCTGCGCTGAGAATGAGAAAGGCAAGATGGCAATATGCTGAGTGTGAGGGTTTGCTGCCCAGCCTGCCCTAGATGCTCTGTGGCCTCGGGTACTCTCTGCCTCTCTGAGCCTCGTTTTCATCCTTGTTGTGAGCATTTGGGAACTGCAGAGGGATGTGCCCATAAGCCGGGAGTGGATGCTAGCTAGGTGGAGGCCTCTGACTCCTCCTTCATCGAGCAGCTGCCCTTAAAACCTCCCCCAGGAAGCCTATTCTACTCCATTTGAAAGGAAGTTGGAAGAGATTCATCTTCACCACAAACGGGACTGAGGCCACCCACAGAGAAGGATGCTCCATCTCAGGAAAAGGAGCCCAGCCTGGGGGGAATGTATCTGCTCTCCCCCAAAACGCATCCCGAGTCCTTCCATCCATCCTCTCAACTGCCACCGCCCTGGTCCAGGCCACCGTCACTTTTGCCTTCTTGGTGGGCTCCCCACAGCCACATGGCAACCAGCAGGGTATTTTGAAAACCTGTCAGATTAAGTCTCCTTCCCCTTCTCAAAACCTTTAAGGGCCGCCCATCACACCGGGAACAAAATCCAAGTTCCTCCCTTGGTGTGCAGGCCCTGGACCAGTGATGGCGGACCTTTTGAGCTGGGCGTGTCAGCATTTTGAAAAACCCTAATTTAATTCTGGTGCCGTGTCACATATAGAAATTTTTTGGTATTTGCAACCATAGTAAAACAAAGATTTATACTTTTGATATTTATTTTATATATTTAAATGCCATTTAACAGAGAAAAATCAACCAAAAAAAAATGAGTTCGCGTGTCATAGGTTCGCCATCACTGCCCTAGACCATCTGGCCCTGCCTATTTCCCTCTTCTCCTCGAACACCACTGTTCCATTTGTTCTCAGCCTCCCAGATACCCCCGGGCGTCCTCAAACCCAGCCAAACGCGTTCCTGACTCAGGGCCTTTGCACCTGCTACTTGCTCTACCTGGAACACCCCCTCCACACACCCTCCTGTGGTGGCTCATTCTCAGCTCATTCTCGGAGGCCTCCCAGGTCCCCTCCCCTGTCAGCCCCTCCGCTCTCCCCAAGTCACTCTGGTCTATCACATTGCCCTCTCTTATTTCCGTAACGTCCACTATGAAGCAACCCTATTTATTAGCTCACACACTTATTT